CCTCTATTGGGATACTTCCATTCATAAGCTGCAGGGGTTCATTATATCACCATGTGCAAGCACCTGACTCTACACTATCTGATGTATCCCTGAAATGTGGAGGCTAGTGGTGGTTGCTCGGTGGTACCAAGAAGAACATTTTCTAAAACTCTGCACACACTCAAACAATTTTTTGCTACTTCATATGTTCAAAGCCTAAGCCCTTGACAATGAAAATAAGTTCCAGCACTTTGACCTGGTCCAAATAAAAGTCCTCAAGTCAGGGCTCCAAAGAAGAAGAACATCATGCAGAGCTTCATTTCCTTTGCACCATCACAGGATTGTTTTAAAAGCCACAAATAGATTATTAAAACATTAATATTGTAATAGAAACTTTAGCTCCAAACGTTTACTGGCCTGACCTTGACAAAGAAAACTACTTGCCTTAGAACTTAAGAAACGTTGTAGAGGAAAACAAGGGAGAAGTCAGAACCACTTGACTTGTGCAGAGCATATATTTTGGCCGGGCCAAACAGCAAAGTCTCAGAAAAGCAGCTGTTTAATTTCTAGGTCTTAAGATTCAACAGGTATATAATGCTTGCTGGCTACCCCTGTATGGGTAAATGTGTTTAGACCAAATATAAAATCCTTCTGCTGCAGCATTTTCTCACCTCCTGTCATGAACTTCACGAATGCATATTGCATTCAGAGGCTAGTAACATGAAGTTGGGTCAGCGAAAAGAATCTCAACAGCAGATGTGCAGAACAGAAAGAGGAATGCACCCTTTGTCACCTTCATTTCCCCATGAGATAGAGAGAGAGAAAAAAAAAACTTGCAGACTTATCTGCCTATATCCCATTACAGTTGATTTAAACAGACTAGGTATGTGTAGGATTATAGCCCTAGGCAAGTAAGCAATGAATGGGAGAAGAGATAAATGAAATCATATAAGAGCTGGAATAATAAGCTTAAATGAATGGTGCTTTCACACTCATAATCATTGCTAGCTGGATACAGCCAGCTCAGTTGACAACACAGGCAGTTCCTTCCCTGTAACACCACAATTCAACCAATAGTCCATAGCACACCATTATTTTTCTCAAAGTCATCTAAATCTAAGTTATTTGGACATCTAGGGGGCCACAGGCATCCCACTCCTCTTCCAGTTCCTCCATGGTTTATTGTGCATTCAACTGGAGTGACATCTACTTGTCTCCTTCCCAAGTTGCAATTGTCCCTCACAGGAAGAATGTCTACCCACATGGTTACAAGCAGAACAGTAAGAAGTCTGGGATATACCTACATGATTTTAATGTTCTTCAGAGGAGGCAGAGCCAGTTTTATGTACTCAGTTCTTATTAAAGCATATGCAAACTTTACTCAAGTAAGGCATATGGTACTACTAGTGGGCCCCATTTCCCCCTATGAATTGAAAATTGCTGATGGTCTTGTTGAACCACTTAACTGTTTTGTTTGCCTGTTGTAGCAATTGTCATCTGCTGTGCAACACGCTGTATGATTTTTAATTGTCTTTTTACTGCTTCTTTTATTTCTTATGTTGTATTTTATCGTATTTATTGAATTTGCATTCCAATGTAAAATGCAATATAATAAAAGAGGCAGTCAAAACGCAATCAAAAATCAAAATCAATATGTAATGTGGACATGTAACAGACCCCCTGAATGAAGCTCATGGACTGCTGGTAGTGCACAGACCGCAGTCTGGAAACCCCTGAGCTACTGGACAACTCATACAAAGGTACTTAATGATGCCTGTTTATGTTGCCCAGAACTCTGATTTTTCTCCTGTTAGAAGGTTGATCACCATGACTAAGAATTTATCCAACTCAGACACCTCCGCTCCCCACATACCAGTTGGAAACAAAAAATAATAATGCATACATAACACTCCAAAATCAAAAATTCAGTTGAAACAACACTTCTAGAATATATCATCTGCTTGGTTACAAAAGTAAAAATGCTCAAAACCAATGTTAAAACCCCTGAGTCTGCAAATGAGAAGAACCATAAGGACTTTAAACTTAATGCATAACATTGCTCTCCCTCCCAGCCCCAAAGTGCAACCCACCCAATCCTTTCCCCCATAGTTTAGACATCAAAGATCAGGTTAGCTTTTATAGCTTATGCCAATCAAATAGAAGATACACACCTGACATCCACCTTTCTCCTAAATGAAAGCATGAGGAGCAGGATATAAGAGAGAAAGAGACAGGGCTTAGATTAAAAGAAATGCAGTTTTGAGATGCTTTTCAAAATGGGAAAGATGCATACACAAGTGCTAATAGCCATAATACTGTGGTGTTCAAAATGTATTCCTAGGAACTCTGGTGTTCCTAAAAAGCTTATCAGTGGTTCCCCAATAAGAACATATATTGAGGCAGAAAACTAGCCAGTGCCCTGCATGAACTAACCACCTCAAGTTTCTCTGAATACACAGAGGTTTCTTGGTGCACAAATGGATATGGGAATCAATGTAGAACATTTCTAAGTGCCACCCTTTCCAGTGATTCTGTGATAGTAACAGGACAGCCAACAGCTTCTATTCCTCAAGACGGGTTTTTCCACTGAATGTGAAACAGTGAACTTGCAACATTCCATTCGCCAAGCCACAAACATTTCAAGTTATGATTTGAAGAGTGCAGGAACTCAATTCTGCTCACTCTAGAAGACTCCAGTCATCTCTTTAATTGAGGGAACAACTACAGGTGTCAAAATGACTTGTAGCTTTAGGTTGGCTAGGACTTGCCGATCAGAAGGTTGGCGGTTCGAATCCCCGCAACAGGGTGAGCTCCCGTTGCTCGGTCCCTGCTCCTGCCAACCCACAGTTCGAAAGCACATCAAAGTGAAAGTAGATAAATAGGTACCGCTCTGGCAGGAAGGTAAACGGTGTTTCCGTGCGCTGCTCTGGTTCGCCAGAAGCGGCTTAGTCATGCTGGCCACATGACCTGGAAGCTATACGCCGGCTCCCTCGGCCAATAAAGCGAGATGAGCGCCGCAACCCCAGAGTCGGCCACGACTAGACCTAACAGTCAGGGGTCCCTTTACCTTTACTCCTCTCCATATGAAAACTGCTGTATTGGAACAACCCAAAAGGTCCAGACCTATGTCTCTTAATGGGTTCCACAGGAAAGTTCAGAAGTAGTTTATGATGATTAACCATCTCCCACATACTGTTTGTCCCCAGCATCTTGCACCAAGCCACCCATTGCCTGCTGCAGGAAAGGGCAGCAGTTTAAATAAACATACCTTTAAAAGGAATAAAATAAAATTAACTAATCACAACCTTTTCTAAAGGTCTCCCATTGTTCTGGGAAGCTTTAAGGCAGGAGTGGGAGGACTCCAGAAGGCCAGAGATGCCCAGACAGCCCACAGGGCAGAAGCAATATTTAGACAGCAGAGCAATGAGTGGAAAATGCGTTTGCTGGAAGGAAGCAGGGGGAGAGCCCAACATCTGCTATGAAGAGGCCACTTCCATCTGCCCAGTCATATGGCAATAATATCATTAATTGTTTACAATGTGCTTTTAATGTGCTAAGTGCTCTATTGTCTTCATCCCGTTTCCCTCCACAATGATCCTACGATGTAGGACAATACTGTCTCTCACCACCTAGGACAGAATGCAACAATTTACTCTCTTCTTTCATTAGACTGCTAAATGCTCCCAGGAAATATTCCCTCCCTCCTCCCCCCCCCCCCGGCTGGGTAAAAATATCTTATTGCCATGTTTGCCAGGTATCCTATGAGCTGAATCTGGACTGCTGAAAAGTTACACTTCACAATATCCCAACTGCATAAATGACCCATGGCAGCAAGATTTAGGTGCATACACACATATGAGAATCACTCCGGAAGCCATCCCATAGATGCTCCCTCTCCTCCTTCCATGCCGCAGAAGGATGTTGCAGTCCACAGCAAAAATGCCATAGGAGTTACATGAGGAAATCAAGCAGACGTTTTACATTTGAAATCACAGTGGGATCTTAGCTGAGAACTCCGGTGCAGCCATTGTACCAACCTTGGAAATTGGGACTTGGGACTTCCTGTTACAACCCCAAACAGGTTTTGCTGTTGACTGATTGGACCTCCATGGCTTCCCAGGCATTTGCCCTCTTATCTCTACCTTTCGGTAGAAACTCAAGCTTATTCCACATGCTTAGCATGCTGATCAAAGCACAAGGCTTGACCCATTTGGCGCGTGTGCCTTAGTGTGGTACACGTTGATTCCTCCTGCCTTGTTTGATGATGTTGAATAAGTGGGTCAAGGCCTAATTACACATTACAGGGGACATGTGGCTGCCACCTCCCCTCCCCCGCTCCCCTAGCCTCCCTGGTATTATTTAGTTAAATAAGGCACGCGACCACATTAGGCACAGCATTCTCCCCACTCCCACAAGCAGCAGCCAAAGAAGCAGAGTTTATGTATGGAAAGAAAGAATGGAGGAGGAAATGTGGAGTGTGGGCAGCCACGTAATGCCCTGAAACACATAGCTGGGCTCTCAGTCCAGTGAGGACTGCTATATGGAGAGTCCTTTCTGGAGGCTGAACCCTAAAGTCATTCTGGGGCAGCACTGAAAGCAAGAAAGAAAAGGAGGATGCAAGTTTTCATTTACAGTGACTGTATGACAGCCAGTGATTCCCTGCATGTACTGGGGAATCGAGCTGGAAGCTTATTTGAAGGGCAGAAGAGGAAATCAATATAAACCTAGGATCAGCACGGGATGCAACTTGGAACATCAGAGGGTAGGACATCAAAACATGGATTTTGTCCCCCAAATGGTACCCCCTGCTCTCTAAGCCCAGGCATTTAAACTGACCCAACTTATCCTATTAACATCTAACAGAAAGAGCTGGAAACAAGAAAGCAAGAAAGGAGAAGGAAGAATTTGTCCTTTCTTATTTCCCATCATGGGCATAGACGCTGTGCAGCACGACGGAATAATATGTTTACTACAAAATTAAATGCATCCCTTAGCTCAGCACCTGGGCAAAAGGTACTTACGTGTTGTTGAGGATTTGGAGGCGTTCTCCTTTCTTGAAAGAAAGGTCTGATTCTGTTCGTGATTCATAGTCATAGAGGGCCACAAAGGTGGTGACTCCACCTGCAACAAGACAAGTTCAAGACTATAGCTGAACACCATTGCATATCAAATTTAGTCAGGGCTCTTGTTGTAAGAGCAACGTGTGTTGGGGAAATTAATATGTTGAAGCCCCTGATGAGTACTTTTTACACCACGTACAATTACATGTAGGAAGGCGGGTAGCGCTGTGGGTTAAACCACAGAGCCTAGGGCTTGCCAATCAGAACGGCATTTCCGTGCACTGCTCTGGTTCACCAGAATTGGCTTAGTCATGCTGGCCACATGACCCGGAAGTTGTACGCCGGCTCCCTTGGCCAATAAAGAGAGGTGAGCACTGCAACCCCAGAGTCGTCCGCGACTGGACATAATGGTCAGGGGTCCCTTTACCTTTACAATTACATGTAAGTAGGAAGGGCAGCACTGAGGTCAATGGCCCCATCATGGAATATGAAGGTCTTAAAAAGATCCCTGTGCAAAGAGTTGTGCATGTAATGGGACTGAAGACCCTGTATGTCTAGACACACGTCTACTTTGGGAACAGAGCCTTCTTGCCACAACTCCAAAAGCATGTTCATTATACACGCTATAAAAAAGTCTGGAAAAGTTCTACTCATGGTAGGAATCATACTGACCAGCCAGAGGCCCGCAGCGCTGAGGAGAGGTAACCATATCAGATGTATTTGAGCCACCAAAGAGTTTTGGTTCTGTGGTAGTTGTTCCAAATACACGACTGGGAGTCCGATGAGTATCTGACACTGTGGTTTTGCTGGGTGTCTGGGAGGCAGAGCAACCACCATGGATATTTTCTGTGGATTCCAGACTGCGCCTCCGTTGACTGGGGTCTTTGGGTTTGCTCTTACTGCTCCCCATGATTCAAGCTACAGGAGAAGAGGACAGCAAACATGAAGCTACGGCCTGCTCTGAATGAACAAGTTCTTGGATTCAGGAAGACACAAAACATTATCTCACTTTGTAGGATTGCAAGATCAAAAACTGAACAATTAAGATTAGGCAGCTGCATTTGGAGAGGTGCACTCTGCTCCGTCAACACTGTTTCAGAACAATTAGATCTCACAACTGGCATGAGAAGATTTTCTTTGTTTGCAAACCCCACCTCTACCCACGATGCTTTTTCTTTTTTAAAAAAGTTCGTCAACTCACTCCTTTCTAAATTTGTTGTAAGATCATTGGGGTGGAAGTTAAAAATTTTGTGGAATAAATAAGAATCCTTGGAAACAGATTGTGGAGGGGTAGACATGTTAGTCAGATGCAGCAATAACTACAGGGTCCTCCTGTTACACCTTAGTCATCACCATTATCATTACCAGATTTGTATACTGCCTTTCCATAGTTAAAACCATGATCAAGGCGGCTTACAAGATGAAAAGATCCACATAATTGCAAACATGACAAAAGTAGTAATAAACAATAAGTAAAACACACCAAAAAGTGCACAACCAAATTTAACAATTTCCAAACTAAAAATTAGAGAAACGAATTTAAAGAGGAAGAAAAAAGAATATCAGTAACACAACAAGACCCCCTAAACAATACTCCACCCAAATTAATCATTTTATTGTGGCAGGAGCTTTTTTGGGGGGGACTAGTCCACTGAAGAAGACCAAGGTCAAAATGTGTTTTTGTTCTGTGATACTTTGTGAGTTACATCTGTTAAGTTTCTTGAAACTTTGGCAGCATACATTGTTGGTGTTTGCATTCTTTTGCTACTGGATCTTGGAAGATACATATTGTTTGCTTTTAATTGCAATCAGAATTCATAAAATATATTTTTATTTACCATACACATTCACACTAGTTTGTGACATTTTTGCTCCCATTTTTTTTAATCACATCTACAGTTGGTTGGGATTCATTTCCCTTTTTGTACAGCTCAATACAATAAACCATGTAATACACAAACATTAAATGGAGAGGGGGAATTCTGATCTTGCTCTCCACCCTCAAAGGCCTGTGCAAAGTGGTGCATCTTGACCCAGCACTGAAATGTATACAATGGCTTGGCCAGATGCATCGGGTGTGTGTGTGTGTGTGTGTGTGTGTGTGTGTGTGTGTATGCGCGCGCATGCGCCTAGAAAAGCCCTCTCAAACACAGGATTTACACAGGGCAAATTTCCCATGGTGGTATGACAGCCAACAGGACCGTCCCTGCAGTTCACAAAACCTAGACAGCTCTATAAAGAAGGATTTTTAAAAAGAAGTACAGTGGTACCTCAGGTTAAGTACTTAATTCGTTCTGGAGGTCCGCACTTAACCTGAAACTGTTCTTAACCTGAAGCACCACTTTAGCTAATGGGGCCTCCTGCTGCCGCCAGAGCACGATTTCTGTTCTCATCCTGAAGCAAAGTTCTTAACCTGAAGCACTATCTCTGGGTTAGCGGAGTCTGTAACCTGAAGCGTATGTAACCTGAGGTACCACTGTATTCCTCTTAGTTTATTTTAAAAGGAACAGTGAATACAAACTGGGGGTGGTGACAGAAACAAATGTTATGGTGAGCGTAACGTTTTCAAACTTGGTTGCAGAATTCTTTTTTGCCAAAGAACTCTGAGGTCAATGTGAGAGAGATAAGTTATAAGACCAATGAACCCAGCTAGACAGAGAAGACAGTTCTGTCTGGAGGATTTCAGTCAATAGAGAATGTGAGGCTCTTGATGCTTCATTACTTACACACTAGTTGGGCCGGGATCTCACTTGCTGAGTGACATGACTACATGCCAGCCCGACTGAAGTAAGAGGGAGGAATTCTCACAGCAAGATTCAAAAAGATTAGACCACTTCCCTGTGTGTGAAGCGATCATCAGGAACGGATGGCAGACATTTTCCCACTTCGAGATATTAAGGTATCATGTAGCTATTGCTAACCTATTGTGAGACTTGGGAACTTTGACTTGAAAAGACACTGTCATTTTCATTTAAGCTTTTCTTACGCAGAAATAAAGGCTTCCGTTAGCTCAGCATACACCACAATGATCACTTTTGTTTGATTAATCTTGGGGCAAGAAGGAGCGAGTCTAGCAAACGGTCTAAATGTACAATCCTACACACACTTCTCTGGGAATAAGCTCCGCTGAAGGTAGTGGGGCAAATGTTGAATGAACACATTTGAGCTCCTTGGAGCAAGCAATTAAGTTCAACCCTCACCTCAGCCATTATCTCACTAGAGTAATCGTCTCAGATTCCCCTTCACACATTCAGTTAATGCGTGCAGAAGAGGAAAAACTGCAAAGTATATGTCAGGGAACTGCCATCGGAAGGACAGGAGGTGGAAGGGCTCACAGAGGTTAGGAGAGACTTAGCAGCCGAAGAGGGAACCAGCAGGGGGAGAGAAGGAGCTCCGAGGGAAAGTGAGTCGGAGGGATGGCTCAGAGACACTTCCAGCGAAAACAGTGGGGAGGTTTCAGGACCTCCTATAGGGACACCCACTCCTCGCCGGAAATTGTCGCGCCGAGAGTCCAGAAGACGCGTTTCCGTTAAGGAGCTTTTATGTTGGAAGAGATTCCGTAAGCGACCACTGTCGGATTCTGCCAGCGACGGACGGAGCCATGCTTAAGGGGCTCTGTTATAGACAGAGGTTTGCTGACTTGGCCAAACTCTGAGGGACTAGGATTTTACGCACAAGCAGCTCATCATCCCATCACAGTATAGCACAACCACGAAGAATGTAAGAAGAGCCTGCTGGATCAGGCCAATGGCCCATGTAGTCCAACATCCTGTTCCCACAGTGGCTGACAGCCTGTGAGAAACCAGCAAGTGGGATTTGAGCACAAGACCCCTCTCCCCTACTGTGATTTCCAGCAACTGGTACAACATCACTCAGCAACAGAGAACACACAAAGGGAGGACCCATGTTCAATTCAATAATAATAATAATAATAATAATAATATTATTATTATTATTATTATTATTATTATTATTTATACCCCACCCATCTGGCTGGGTTTTGCCACTCTGGGCGGCTTCCAACAAAACACTAAAATACAATAACCTATTAAACATTAAAGCTTCCGCAAACAACAGTAAATAATCTCAGGCAAAAGGGCTAAGAGAGACCTTCTGTGCAAGACCCCAGTGAACTGCCAGAGTAGTGACTAAGATGGACCAATGGTCAGGTGTGGCACAGGGCAGCTTCAATATGTTCATACAGGTGGAATACCAGACCTCTATGCATACCCATGTAGCAATGTAGTCGTGCCTTTCTCATGTTCTGCACAGTCCAGGAGCAGGGTTGGCAGCTGCAAACTCACTCTCCACAAAGCACTGATTGGATGTTTGGAGGGGTGTGTGGTAGCCGGCCTTATTTTAGTTATTTATTTATCCAGAATTTCTCACTCTTCAACCAGAAAGGCTCCCAGGCACTGGTGGAGGAAGAGGTGTGCGGGGGGAGCGCACCGCCACTGGCAGCGCGATCCCGGCGGGGAGCCATCGCAGCTGCCCCCCCACCCATGCTGGGCGCCACGCCCCCACGGGCGGCACACCACGCCCCTGGGATGTGCGCCAGCCCCGCCTGCTCTCCACCCCCCCCCCCGGTGCCAGAGCATGAAGCTCCGCCACTGCTCCCAGGGCAGCTGACCTTTCAATAAAAATAATACAGCCCTTGCCTTCAGAATTACAATCTAAAATGATCAGTAAAGCAAAAGGAAAAGCCGATGGGGATGGGGGGGGGATTCTTGGATTACCAAGATAACGTGAAGTGTTTTGAACACTTGCAGATTGCTGTTGTTTGAGATTGAAGAAGAATAAACACAGAACTTTCTGCACTGTAAGCAAATTATGGAGCGTTCATTCTTGGCTCCTCCAGTGCGTAACAGCCATCAACAGAGTTGTGATTTATTTCATGATTTTGAAAGGCACCTAAGCTAGGAGCTGCTTTCCATATCATGTGACAATTGGGCTCCTGTGGTGAGCATATCTTAGGTTTTAAATCTGAAGGCACCAACTCATTGAAGGCGAGGGAAAGCTCTTGTCTTGAGGAGAAGAAAAAACACAGTGTTTTAAATCACAAAGATTGTACTCACACAGGGCCTTTTTCTACAGTCTATTCAACACATGGAGGCTAGGGCAGGCCTTCCACTGTGATCCTGTCCTCACTCCTCATCCCTCAGCAAAATGTGTCCAGCCAGTGTCATTTGCAATTAACGGCTTGAGACTCTGGAAAGCCATCGCCAGTCAGAGTCGATAATCCTGGCTAAAAGGACAATAAGACCTGGTAGCGTCTTATGATCCTTGCAAAATGTCAACTCCCTTACAAAGTAAACTTTGATTAAAATTATGGTTCTTTGAGGCAACCCAAGGTATTGATGGCCTTAGGCTCTGCGTACGCTATATTCTTTAAAGGACATTTGAAACCCATTCTTTTCCTCAAATAATTCTGTGCACTGTAATTTGTGGAGGGCTGCTGGGAATTGTAACTATGTGAGGGGTAAACTACACTGCCCAGAATTCTTTGCAGGAAAGACTGTGCTTTGAATGGAGCATCTCCACCCCCATGTTCAGCCCAGACAGTGAGGTTCAGCGCTGAGGGCCTTCTGGCGGTTCCCTCACTGCAAGAAATGAAGTTACAGGGAACCAGGCAGAGGGCCTTCTTGGTAGTGGCTCCTGCCCTGTGGAACGCGCTCCCATCAGATGTCAAGGAAATAAACAGCAACCTGACTCTTAAAATACATCTGAAGGCAGCCCTGTTTAGGGAAGTTTAGGGAATGTTGGATGTTTTATTGTATTTTTAATATTTTGTTGGAAGCCACCCAGAGTGGCTGGGGAAACCCAGGCAGATGGGCGGGGTATAAATTATATCTTGGATGCAGTTATACAACGTCTTGCTGCTGAGCTTTGAATCCTAGTAAAGCGCCGTAGTACTGATTTTTTAAAAAATGTGCATTTAAGAATATGATCTGGAGGAATATCTTCTTTCTTTCTTTCTTTCTTTCTTTCTTTCTTTCTTTCTTTCTTTCTTTCTTTCTTTCTCTCTCTCTCTCTCTCTCTCTCTCTCTCTCTCTCCCTCCCCTTGGTTTTCATGGATTTATTTCCAGCTCAAGAAACAGACATAGGTGAGAGAAGAGGCTTCAAGGTCAGAGGAAACAACTTAAAGCTCGTTCCCTCAGATTTTCAAAACCTGTTCTGTTTAGCTCAATAATCAGTATATCTAGAATATCAGTCACTTTGGGTAAATGCCAATAGCGGGTTCAGACCTATGCATGACTGAGCATCTTGTACTAAGCTTCTTTCTCAGATGGGTTATTGCCAAGCCACAGTTGAAAATGCACTGCTCCGAGAAGACTGAACTCAGCCTTTTCCTTGCTCATGTTTTTAGGGCTCTGGCCGCAAAAAAATAGGATACAGGAACTGAAAATGAAGCACTGTAGGAATCAAGGAACAAAGGAACAAAAATGGAATCAAAGAACAAAGAATGCAAACTGTAAGAATTAACTCTGCTAGGTTAGACCAAAGGCACAAACAGCCTAGCATCCTAGTCTCACAGTGGCCAACCAAATTTCGTGAACAGTAACCTAACTACTATAACTCACAGCAGTGGTGTGGTGGTAAATTTTAAAGTGCAGGAACACATCATGATGGTTTCCAATGCTATACCCTCTGTTTGTCCCCCACCCCCACCCCAATATATTCTCAAGGTATGTGTTATAAAAACAGTTTTAAAAATCCACCTTCATTTTGTTTAACATGCCTGCAATTGATTTCACACCTAGTTTGCCAGTGATGTGGATCAAACAAGACTATTAGGGTTTTTTTACACTCTCTCGCGCCATCGTCCCTGCATCTTTATGCCAAGGTGAAGTGGAGTGTAATTGGAAGCAGCCAGCATTCTCAAAAGGCTCGTTTCTGACTGATTAGACATGGCATAATAAGGGAGGCTTTCCTGCAACTGGATTAGTAATGAAGGCGAGCCCAGACTGGCAGAGGCCTCAGGGAAGAGAACTGCAAAGGGACAGAACTCTTTTGAGGCTATTGCTGGAATGGGCTCTGAATTTTCTGCTCTGTGCCCTGATAAGCATGGAAATAGGGAGAGTACTAAAAGGCTGCCTAGTATAATCTCCTTCCACGGAGGCATGGCAAGTTATCCACCAACTGACCAATGCTATCCAGGCCACAATATGTGCATAAAGGCAGTGCAGGTATCATCTGGAAAAGTGCCTGAAGAAGAAAACATCCCAAAGGAACAATGGTACATTCTACAGCAGGGGTAGGCAACCTAAGGCCCAGGGGCCGGGTCGCCTTCTCAATCCGGCCCGCGGACGGTCCGGGAATCAGCATGTTTTTACATGAGTAGAATGTGTGCTTTTATTTAAAATGCATCTCTGGGTTATTTGTGGAGCATAGGAATTCGTCCCCCCCCCCAAAAAAATATATAGTCCGGCCCACCACATGGTCTGAGGGACGGTGGACAGGCCCATGGCTGAAAAAGGTTGCTGACCCCTGTTCTACAGCAACCTCTAGCCAATCTGACCTGGGGGGGAAATTCATTCCTAGCCTCAAATATGATCAGTTAAGCTCAGAGTATGGACAAAACACTTTTCCTGTCTGAAGACACAGCAAGCAGACGTTGGGCTGTTTTCTGGCGCTCTCTCTGTCTCTCTCTCTGCAAACACCCACTATCCTTTCCCTAATTATGGAAATAAAACTCAAGATCATGCAGGTGTGGGAAAGAAATGTTTCCTGGTCCCAATAAGCCTATAATAATATTTATTTATACATACATACATACATACATACATACATACATACCTCGCCCATCTGGATGAGTTTCCCCAGCCACTCTGGGCAGCTCCCAATCAAATGTTAAAAACAGTACAGCATTAAATATTATAAACTTCCCTAAACAGGTCTGCCTTCAGATGTATTTTAAAGTTAGAATAGCTGCTTATTTCCTTCACATCTGAAGGGAGGGTGTTCCACAGGGTGGGCGCCACTACCGAGAAGGCCCTCTGTCTGGTTCCCTGTAACCTCTGGTTCCCTGTAAAATGCAAGAGCCTTCACTTCCTATCAAGTTTTCAACATCTTTTTAAGTGTCAGGGACTGGCTGGACACTGAGGAGTGGTGGCTGGATATTTCTGAACGTGCACCAGGAGAAGGGGGGGTTAGAAACTGACTTGGAAGAAGGGATCCAGCGATCAGGAGAAGCCTTAAACAGCCAGGAGTCAGAGGAAGGAGAAAATGCAGGACTGGACAGTGAAGGACAGTTATCGGAGGGAGGGAGACAGAGAGGTCAGGCTGGTGTAGAGTCAACGGCTTCCACATCTTCTCCTCCTGCCCCCACCTCTCCTGCTCCACTGACTCCCAGGACCAAGAGGGGACTGAAGAGGGAGGAGCAGAAGCAGGTTAGACGCTGATGGATTCTTTGCCTGCTTGCACGCAGCTTAGGTGGGCAAGATACATAAGCTGAGGTCGGGGCGTCTCTGTTGCTGCAACTGCCTCATCAGGTGCACGCCTGGGTGCCACATAATGTTCATTCTACACTTGCAAGGAATCAATCCTTCAATGTGGCGGCACATTTACTTTCTCGAACTCACTGCCTCTCGAACTCACAGGTGCCTGTGTTGCATTGCTTTTGGCACCTGCTAAAAACTTAGGCAAATCTTCTCAGACATGCATTTTTATTACCTTTTCTTGTTTTTCATTGATTAGGAGCTATATAAATCTTGTTAAATAAATAATACACAAAACAAGCAACTTCCAATACAAAGTATGCCTCAGGCTTTGTCACATCTGCTGTGTGTAAAGTTGGATTCTTGACCTGTAAGCTTCAGTCAGGTCTCTCTGATCTAAGAACTACTGCACAATGTTACATTTTCAACATGCGTCAGTATTTGTACATGCTAAAAATTATATATGTTTGATCAGTGCTATTTTTCTAGGAAAAGAGGTGCTTGAACTCACTGTGAATGCCTCCCTTGTTCTCTTAGAACAGCAATGGTGCCCACCTGAGAGGCGCCGGAACTGAGTTCCGGCTGAAAAAAAGGCCTGTGTTTGGTGCTCCAAAATGCATGTCATTTAGTATGTAAGCAACTCAAGGCTGCTTTTTAAAAGCCATCATTATCACCATTTTTTAGAGGAGGGTCTCCATATTTCTGAATTGGCAGTATGAATTTAGAGAGAGAAATTACTCACATATGCTGTCACCTGACAGAGCTTTCTGTGGCGGACAGGGTGGCAGACAAATCAATCAGCGCAGCTCTTCTGCAATCTACAAAAGAGAAAAGCATGGAATGTTAGCTAAGAATTCACAAAAAACAAACAACATCTGACTACATGACTTACAGCACCACCCTGAGCGTGTGAGGTTGAAATTAAGTCAGAGTTATTTCAATGGGACTTACTTCCAAGCAAGTGTGCACCACTGTGTGTTGAAAGCAAGCCCCACTTGTCCAATGGGGGATTAAGGTAAAGGTAAAGGGACCCCTGACCATTAGGTCCAGTCGTGGCAAACTCTGGTGTTGCGGCACTCATCTCGCTTTATTGGCCGAGGGAGCTGGCATACAGCTTCCGGGTCATGTGGCCAGCATGACTAAGCCACTTCTGGCGAACCAGAGCAGCGCACGGAAACAGCGTTTACCTTCCCGCCGGAGCGGTACCTATTTGTCTACTTGCACTTTGACATGCTTTCAAACTGCTAGGTTGGCAGGAGCAGGGACCGAGCAACGGGAGCTCACCCCATCGTGGGGATTCGAACCGCCGACCTTCTGATCAGCAAGTCCTAGGCCCTGTGGTTTAACCCACAGTGCCACCCGTGTCCCTTTTATGGGGGATTACTCCCTAGTAAATGTACTTATTTATTTAATCAATTTATATAGTGCTTACTGAAACGAAATATCTCTAAGCCGTTTGCAAAAGACAATCTAAAATATTCACTAAAAACACACACACAATAAAAGCAAACGTTAAAAAGCAAGGCTCGCATCTAAACCACGTTTCATTAATAGCATGTTGAAAGTAGTGTGCTTACGATTGGGTACATCTTTTTCTTAATGCCCAGAAGCTGTGGGGGAGCAATGCAGCTCACTGTATCTTAAGGTCCCTATATTCACTGATTCCAATGAGCCTACTCAGAGTATGATTAATTTTAGATGTCATCCATTAAAACATGGTGAAATAAGATTTTTTTTTAAAGTGCACAAAATAATGATGGGCGAAAGACTTCTGCCACTCATCAGGAGCGTTATCAATGCTATCATCCAGTAAGATCCCCATGACACTCACACAACCTTGTTTCATTCAACGTTCATGACAGCAATAAAAATTATTCTCCTGTTTTATTTCAAATGTTTCTTAGCAGCCGTACAGGTCCCATTCGGAATGGAAAGGCAGGAAATGTTTTAGTCAAAAATATCTGGGAGTGATAGAAGCAATTTTTACTGGAGAAACATCGTGTCCACACATGAGCAGAACTATATGGAGGAAATACTTTGGGATGTCACACTATAAAATATCGCACTATTATTGCTCTCAATGTATCAAATAAATAGTCTTGAACGCCACTCCCATTCCCCAAATTGTTCCCAAATTGGCCTAAATCTGCAATTTATATCAGTTTTAAAACAGCTGCCTGACACATTCCACTTTAAAGCAACCTATTTATTGAACATTCAACCTGATTTGCTTGCACAAAGCTTACACAGAGGTTAGATTATATCCAGTCTTCGAGCATTTGTTCTGATTTATTTGTGGCGCAGTTGTAGGACAACGAGCATTTATCCTGATTTGCTTATGGGGATGGTTTCCCATTAATCATTTGTTGATCCCACACTTTTCAATGCATTTCTCTGTGGCTTTTTAAAAGTGGATTTGTTGCACCAGGGTGATAGAGCGCATTAATTCACTTTAATGGCAACAAACCTAAATCCCTCCTGCAAAACAAGGACAGTCTGGAGGCACCCTTAAAGGAAATCAGCATAGTACTAAATCTGGCATAAAAGCACAACACAGGCTCCTTGTGAGCCTTCTTTTGTAGATAGTTGAAAATGGGTGGAGGCAGCAGATTGCCTTTCTGATCTGTCATGTGTGAAGAAGGGACAATTCTCTGCTCCACTTCACCAAGTCAACAGGGCAAGAAAAAGAGGTGGTGGCTGTTGGCAGCCCAAGGCTATCAACCAAGCTTATACTGCAGAGCATTTGATGAGGAAAGAATCCTATGTTTATCCAGAGCCCAGAGGGTATCCAGACAGACAGACAGACAAAATACACAGTTATAAAATATGGATACTAGCCAGGGCAACATTCTTAAAGTGCTTTTGCTGCATTTAATGGGTTCTTCCTTGTACATATCTACCTGCACCTGGGAATCAGGGAGTGTGCTTCTTGAACTGAGGAGTCCCCATCACACTCGTCAAACCCATCAAACCCCCTTACCCAGCCTGATAGCAAGAGTAAGGAACAGGGGAGATCTGTTGTCTTCATGCCCTCTTGTGGGATTTCTAAAACCATCTGGCTGGCCACCATCTAAAGAACAACAGGATTACTGCACATGTTTTTATTAGTTACATACCTCACCATTTGCTAGATGGCATCTGCTAATCCTGTTTTTATTTTAAAATGGACTGTATGTTTGAAACCTTTTTTGTCTTGCCGTGTCTGGAAAGTTATAATTGTTTGATTAACACTAATCTGACTTCTCAAAAAGTACCGTATTTTTCACTCCATAAGATGCACTTTTGTCTTCCTAAAAAGTAAGGGGAAATGTCTGTGCATCTTATGGAGCGAATGAGTGGTCCCTGGAGCCAAATTGCCCAGGGGCGAAAAGCAGATCATGCTTTTTTGTTTAAAAAGAGGGAAGTGTGTGTTGAAACAAATCCGCAGGCATTCGGGAGTGAGAAAAGGGACGCTAGCAATAAAGGAGGCTGCCTGGGAGGGGGGAGGTAAAGACAGCAAACTTGCAAGGAGAGGAGACAGGAATACTAAAACAAGCAATGAGGAGAGAAATTAGAAGAAGACGAGCAAAAAACTGCCCCAGCTAAGGAAAAGACATTAAGGCAAACAAGAGGGAAGTGGGTGTTGAAAGGAAGCAGCTGATCGGCAAGCGATCGGGAAGGAGATAAGGGACGCTGGCGATAAAGGAGGCTGCCTGGGAGGGGGGAGATAAAAGCCCATGGATCCTCAGGATTTTTGCATTGGGTCACCCCAAATTCACCATCAGATCACACAGCATGTCCATAGCTACAGCCTGCACCAAAAAACCCACACATCCACTGTTTCGTGGGGCTGCAATGGCGCAAAAACGTGGTTACAAAGCATGGATCCACATGGATTCTCAGGATTTTTGCATTGGGCTACTCCAAATTCACCGTCACAGCATGAACCACAAAAATCATACATCCACAGTTTCGTTCAGAATATTTCTTTTCTTGTTTTCCTCCTCTAAAAACTAGATCTGTCTTATGGTCAGGTGCATCTTATGGAGCGAAAAATACGGCAACTAACATTGATCATCATCTTGACTGTATCAGCCACCTGAAGTTAACAGGGCTTTTTTTTTTACCCCACAAACCTTTAATATGAAGAGATGAGAGGTTAGAATTAGAAAAATTGCATCTTTTTTGGAATATATAAAGCATAGTACCTAAAAAGACTGACCTATACATCACAACAACTCTGGTTTGAATTTCGCCTCCATCATGAATTTACCACTTCTTAGTCCCCCACCTGCAACAATATCTGCCTACGTTACAGAGCTATTATAATTTTACTACAAGTTTACGATGTGCTTTGAACACCCATGAGTATTGTTAAAGCAGAAAGTTTCATTCCATGGCACAGGCCTTGTCTTCACAGCACGAATGGTACCAAGTTTGTCTCTTCTGACTATCTTCCTAGGGATATTCAATGGAGGAGAGTCCGTGCCCCTCAAAGTGGTGGCTGCTGGCCCACCTAATAATCTCTGCCCTCAAACCTCCTTCTTAAGTCACCTTTCCCTCAGGATGGCACACTGATTTTGCAAGGCCATAGGCCTAGAAGTGCACAGAGAATGCAGAAGGGTTGCTAGGCAACTGCCCAGCTTAAAATTTCATCCCTTTCCTGGGCCTAAAGTCAGGCTTCATACTGGACTGAAGACTTTGGCAGCCTTTTTCTTCCTAGATAGAATAGCAGGGAAGAAGGAAAGTATTTATTACAGTGCCTTCCTGCCTGTCCAAACATGTCAAGGAAAACGGCAAAAAGACAGAGCACGAGGATAAGGAGAGGAAAGAAGGGAAAGCCTTATCTGGGGCTGGGCTGCAAGCCCATTACCTTGAAGGGGGGGGGGAATGAAGGTAAATTGAAGGTGGTTATGCAAACTTATTTCTCATATCTGTATGGAGTATCTAGATCTTGAGAAATTTGTTGAAGCCAGTCAGCCACAGAGCAGAACAAGCAACCTTCTGCAGTTGCTACCATAGGCAGCCCCTGAGGAAAAGAAAGCAGGAACCAATGCTTATACACGAATTGTGGTTCTACCTCCTTCTGCAGAGTGCTCTCAAGACACCGCCAGCTTTTTTTGTTCCTGTCCCTGTTGTGGGAGATTAGAGCCAAATCTAACAAATGCATATTCTTGCTAGTTAGCATGAGAAGGGGTTAATACCACAGAGCTGTACTGCTGATAGGCAGGTACTCAGGCCATAGAATTACAATTGGTAGAGAGGGCTCTGTGTGGTGTCATTTCCCCTCCTCTCCTGGAAAGGAAGGAGCATATAGTACTTCCTTTTCTCTCTCTTCCTTTGACCATCATTGGATGCAGACATGCCTCTGTTCGCTCCATCTTTAGGTACATGCCTGTAGCTGGTTATAATTAAATATAAGTATTGCTTATATTTGCTTATATATATCATTGTTGAGAACCAATGCATGATTATAAAGTTAGTAAATCTTACTTTTAAACTTACTTTAGAAGTTGTTACCTGATTCTTTCTTAAGCAGGGTAAGAACAGGGAGGCCAGCTTACTTTATAGCTGGACTTACGGTACTCAAAACAAGGCTTTTCAGCCTAATTCCTATGTTTTAAATTTTGCTGCAATGATAATATTTTAAAACTCTGTTCAGCACACACAGGTGGGGGAATGAGTGCTGCTGGTGGGATTTGCATGCCCCAAAACATATGGGAATAAATGAGTTTGGTCTCCCGAGTGCCTAAAACAGAGGTGGGGAACTACATCTGGCTGAATTCTCAATTCCATCTTTCCCCACAGGTCGGGTTTGACAGGTGGCTGGGGCTGCTCA